AATTTTGGATCTACAGTGATGACTAGTGACTTCATCAAGTAATAAGAGCTTGAAATGAAATTAAATGAAATGTCCTTAGGTGTAAGCCAAACAAGTCTCTAGGTGTGAATCCACCCAGTTTGAGAAGCAGAGACTCACTAAAAAAGAAAGAAAATAATTCAGCAACTCTTCTGATACTCAGAAGAGTAATGCTTTGTAGAAATGTCATACAACAAGAGGGACTGAAAAAAAAAATCACAAAGTATGGACAAATAATAACTGAGTGGATATATCTTACATTTTTTAACAATGAGTTGTATAAGCAGTGCCAGCTTGCAAACATGCCTTGAGGCAGAATTTGGACCTTTTTGAGCGATCTTCATTATCTTACCCTCAACAGACAGGCACCAAGAGAGGAAAGTTGCAGATGAGTTTATGCTGCTTTCAGGGTCTTCAGTGAACACTTCTGAGACATCTAAGTCAAATTCAAAGAAAAGAGGCAAAGAAAGTGCAATTGGTCAGGAATGACGGCTTCTGTTCAAATTAAGACATTATGCTAATGATTGAAAGATGCAGCCAGCGCTTTTTTTTTTTTTTGGCCACCCAGGTGAAATGCTACTGCATTGATCCTGGCAATGTCTGGGGTATCAACTGACTCCACCTGTAGTAGCAAATGCAAGCAGGATGCCAAGCAGGATGCAGAACAGAATGCCTCAAAATCATTACTGCTTTCCCAAATTGAAATATTTTAATAGGTTCTTTTTCATTTTGGGTTTTTTTTGTTTTTTATATGTTTTAAAGAGTTTTCTAGGGACAAATTTCCTTTCCAACCTTTGTCATCACCCCTATCCCAAATCAGGGGTGTTGTAGAAATAAGACATGGCAGGAGTAAGAGAAAGTGAAGATGGTGATGCCGTTATCACAGCCTCACAAAACATCCTCTGCTTGTGTGACTGACTGCATGGGCTGAGGGAGGGTTGGTAGCAGTTGGCATAGCTGGATTGGCTAAGGATCAAGATCGCGAATGCTAAGAATAAACCTTTTCTTCTGGCTTTTTTGAAAGACCATTCAGTGCTGCACTCTGTGCTTTATCTACAGCAAACTTGCTATTTTAGCTCCTAACTACAAAGTCTGACTCTTTAATTTGATCTGTAATGTTTTATCCAAAAACAGTCCAAGATCTGGCTCTTTTTCTGTTTAGGCTCATAGCTGTCAGAGAGCTAGGACTTGTGGGATTTGAACCCCTGGGTCTCTCCATACAGCCTATGTTTTATTCAGGAACAATATGCTGAGGAGAGCTAGAGAATTATATAGTCTAGCTGAGAAACACCTCACACTCTGGTACTTTTATTTTTTCACTGGCTCCTTTGCCTCTTCACTTTTAATTAGTGGCACATGCTGAAATAATAATTTAAATTCTTTTCAGAAATCAAAGGAATTCCCACTGACAACATTATTAAGTTATAAATACAGTGAAGAAAAAGGTCAATAAGAATTTGAGCCAAATATCTGCTCTCCATTAAAAACTTGACTGAACCTGTTTTTCCTTCATTTTGTTAGGTTACTCTGGCCTTAAATGGGTCTGAGCTAGATATACACCTGCACAAAGGGCCAGCGCAAGGCCAAATAACGCTTGCCGAGACCATTTACTTTGACCTGTTGGAGGGTAGGTCTTGCCTGCCCTACACTTGAGATGATAGATAGATAGAATTTAGACAGACACGAAGGACTGCTCTTGGCCCTCGGAAAGATGCATATTTTAGACTATAAATAGAATATGGTCATACGGGGTTATTTGTGTGAGAAAGACATGTAGGAGGTGGTGGCATTTTGTTGCAAAGGAAACTTAGTATTGGTGGGAAAAAATGATCAGGTTCCTGAGCTACCGCATTCAGACAAAGCCTCTTGCTTCGTTCATGCTGAGAGCCACATGCATGCAGAACCATATGCAAAGCAGGCCTAATCTACCGAGTGTTTTGCATTTTCAATGCAATGAGAAGAGGGGAAAAGAAACATTTTCCTGTGTATTACCTGTTAAGCATGCCCATCAAGAAGACACCTATTAAAATGGTTTGCATGATAACATGGGTTTTAAAGCAACTAAAGGTAAATGAAAAAGAAAAAAAAGCTCCTTACACTGGCACCTGCAGGGTGAGCCTGCCTATTTCCCGGCACAGCTCTGCACTGCACGCTAGATACCTATCTATCTGCTTCAAACCAGCCGTGCTTTGTGCAGTTACAGGCAGAGAGCACTGCAAGGCAAGAGCTTTGCCTCTGAGACCTGTTGAAAGTTTGGCATTTCTTTTTTCCCTTTTTTTTTTTCTTTCTTTTAAGCTGCAACACATTGCTTAAGCTGTGGCATGCCTCAAAGACAGAACTTTCCCTCTTTCCAGGTTGCATACCATGAAATCCTGCAGTCCTGTCTCGCATCTTGCACAAGCATTTTTATGGCTTAAGCCTGCAACCTTTACACGCACACAAGTGCTCCCACAGACTTCCTGTTTTCTGTAATCCAGTCCTGGCTCCTGGGTCCTGCTTGAGATAAGCGCTCTGAAACTCCCTCGGGGCTGCCTCCCCTCTGACCCTGACAGCGGAGGCGGCTGCTGCAGGCACCAGCCCCTGCTTGCGCTGACAGCTGGGACTGAGAAGCACCCCAAAGAGGACCATGTAGAGGTTGGAAAGATCTCCTTTTTGGCACGTGGCACAAGAGCAAGCACATGGCGTGGGCTGGGAGCACTGTGCTGCCTGTGGAGAAGCAGCCAATGGGTCCGCGAGCCACTGCCAAGTGCCCTAAGTAAGGGGTGGCCACAGGAGGTGGGAAACCATTCCTCCATCTCTCCCTCTTCACTCCTCTCAGCAGCCCTCGGATGCCCTGACAGCTCTGGAGCTCCTTTCCAAAAGGGTGACACTCCTTGGGATGCTGCAAAAAAATCCTCCAGGGGCCCAACAGCAGCAGTGCCACAGTCCCATTCTGACGTGGCCCTCCCGGACCCTGGGGAAAACCTCCAGCGGGCTCCTCAAAGAGTATTATTAGTCTATCTACCATGGTACCGCAACTGCAAGGTCTCTCTCCTGAAAGGCTACAGGGCTTTTGCACTGCCCTCGCCCTCACCACTGGCCTTCAGAGAGTTATTTGGACTGACCTCGATTTATGATGAATTGTTTCCTTCATAGGGCTGAAAGCTGCTCTCAAGAACATCAGCGCCGCTTTGGCATAACTGCAGCAACTTAACGTTTCAGCAAAGGATGCATTTTCAAGCTATATTTTTTCTGGCAAGTTGTGTCATTATCTTTTTAAGAAGCCAATTGCTTTTACTCTCTAACTCTCCGGGGGCTGAGTGTCTTCAGCACTACCACTACGGGAGGCTCTGCAGGTCTGCACCATCATTCACTGTGCAGGGGGACTCATCGATGTTTCACATTATGTTCTCATCTCAGGTTTCTTAAGGCAAATGGGAAAAGTCTGTCCTACAGTACAGGAGCTCCAGAATATTTTGCTCTTACTCAGTTGGTTCCTGATCGGATGGCCTTAGATGGGACAAAAGAAATTTGCCAGTATGGTCGGAGAACACCGTTTTCCCACAGAAGACGCATTAAAGTTGTTCATCAGCAGAAGCTGACTTGCTCTTTGGTGTCACTGCAGATCATGGCTCGAGTCCACAGCGTGCTAAATATCAACCATTGCTGTGCTCCTTCAACTCCCAAAATAATCAATGAGAATTGAGGATGCTGAGGTGACTAATAAGCATGCAAAATTCTATACCTCACTTATCTGAGCCTGCTGGAAAAAAATTCTTGGCTTGATTGTCGCCTGCAACACCACTGCCAAAACATTAAAGATAGATAGATAAACAAGATCAGGAGGCCATGCGAGTTTAAGTAAAAAAGAACACACTTTATTTATCTACAAGGCAGTACAATGTCGTATAAAAAATTAAGTGCAGATGAAGCTGCACCAAATGCTATTAAGGCAGCAAAGTCAGAGGCTGTTATTAAAAAACAATAAAAAAATAAAATAAAATCAGTGTTTTGCCATATCGATAAAGATTTGGTATGGCAGTACAAAGAACCATATATTTCTAAGAACCTGATTCGGTGCACAAGACCCAAGTTAGGGAACAATCAGCTAGACAAGGAACAAAACAGACAACATGAACAAGACAGTGTTCTCCCAAACATGTGAAGGTGCAATACATGCTGTTACAAACCAATGAGAAACAAAACAACACATCCAGACAAAAATAAATCTCCCAGGAACAGTGTTCAAAAATATTGCTTATAAAAAAAAGGGAAAAAATATAAATGATGTAAAAAAATTAAAATAAAAAGGTCTGAAATGCTAGTGCATAGTCAAATTAGCTAACATCAACATTTGTTGTCTTTCCATATAAAGCTCTACTGCTCCTTTTACACTAGCAGCATGTCTACACGCTAAGGTCTGTAGCAGCAAAACACAGTATTCATTTGGCATTTACAGAATTAAATTACTGAATAAAAATATAATTTTTCTCATAAATCTATGTTTCATACAGTAATATTTTTTTAAAGCAAGCTAATTAAAAAACCCCCCCCCCCCCCCAAAAAAAAAAAAAACAGAAACACACAATGTATAATGGTCTAGAACCATAACAGAACGAAAGAGTATTTCAAGCGGCATGGATGTTTGAGCATTCACGATCTTGATCTGGTTCCCCTTTTGCACAGACTAGCGTTTGTAGTAATGCTTTTCACTTCAGTATTTTACACCAATGCATTTTGTTCAGTGATTTAAAATAAATCTGTTTGAGTACCTGCTCTTTTATTATAAAAAAAAATAAAAAAGAAACAAACAAAACCCCACCCCTGGATAGCACATCACTGACGTAGCAATACTGGTGTATTAGGTCTGCTTGATCTCAAAAAGTACAAAAAAATTACCTTTATTTTAAGTCTGCATTTAAGATCATTAATAAGTGATTAAAACTTAATACCTAATAATTTAGGCAAGTATCATTTATTAAAAAAAAAAAAAACCTCTTAAGTTGGGTGAAATCCAACAAGAATATATATGCTCAGTGACTAAATGCACTTCGTGCTGCTCCCAACTGTTGTACCACAACAAAGATAGGCTCTTCTCCCATCCATGAAAAGTTTTCATGCAGAGGAACAGTAATTTCCCAGTGAAGGTGAAGTGTTCTGAAAACCATAATGCTTCTCCGTAGACCCTTTTACATCACCAGAGTCCGGGTTGGGAATGCGGTCATGTACTTGCGTGCCTGATCAGTAAGGGCCATCTGATCCTCTATCTTGCCACAGGACGCCGACTCCCAAGCGTTGTTCAGATGCTGCGTTAAAAACAGGTAGAGATATTTGGGGTGAATATCATGGGATTTATTTCTGCCTTGTGAGCCCCTGAATGCGCCCAGCTGCAGCTGGGCCCCGCTGTAAGTGTTGCCTGAACACCCAATGGGATGTTGTCCCATCTCCAAAGAAATTTAAGTCTAAACACAACAGACAGGAGAGAAAAAACATTACCCCCGCTATTCCGCTAGTGACCTGAGGCACGGGAAGACCAGGGGGCCTGCACGACAGCACACCAGAAGAGCCGGGATTCAGATCGCCTGAGCTCCCGTTCAGAGTGCTTTTTACTCTACAAGGCCATATTTATAGCCTTGCCTTTCCACCAAAGGGCTAAAAAGAGAATTTATTCGCAGGTGGACTTTATAGTCAACAGGCCACAGACAGGTTAAAACCCTCACTTATGATGTTCAGTGCTATAACCAGACACAAATTATTGCTGAGCCTTCACTCTAGAAATACAGCTGCTCTGCCTCTGCGTTCCCTAAACAGACTTGACAATCTTGACAGCCTGACCACAGTGAACAACAAGGCCCCTGCTCGAAGCGGCTTTCACCTGTGTGCGGCGATTAGCACATGCCCATCAGCAGAGCTCCTCTGGCAAAAGAGAAGACAAGCAGGGGGGAAACTCTCAGCAGAAACAACATTTTAATTATCACGCAAGCCATTTCACTTCTTGTGGTATTTATGGAGGTTAGAGACACCATTTAGTATAATGTTAAAATGAGATAAACCTATCTGCAGAGAGGGCCGTGCACACTGTATTTATTTACTCACTACACAAGTGAAATGTTTCTCATTGCCTTGAGCTATGAACAGTACTGAAGCTTCAAAGCTCCTGGAATTTACCAGTACACACACTTACACAGACTTTTTTTCTCTTGAACTCTTTCAGTTACTCAGTAGGTCTGTTCTTCCACATCAAGATGCTCACTAAACTCAGAATAAAAACCGTATCCTTAGACAGAGCTAATGGTATGAATGGCCTGCATTCCAAAAAGCTAAGCACAACTGTGTTCAACCGCAAGCTGTCTGCCAAGAAGAGGATCACAGTATTTTTGAAGATTAGGAAGGTCTAAGCCCAAGATCCATCAGCAAACACAAGCCAGGAGAAACCCATCTCTGTCTTCCTCTGCTTTTGACAAGGATCAACTTTGCAATGTAAGATCTGTATTACTCAAGCAGATGGCCAAAGCCTTCCCCGCATCCAGGACACTAGATGAAACATAATTACTTGACTGCAAACTGTCTGCTAAGAGGAGAACTGCCCTGGCGTGGGCGGCCAGTGGGCCACTTAGCCACGGCTCTTTACGCTGCTCCTTCTAGTTGCCAACAGTATGAGAGGAGCCTTATGTTATTCTCTAGCCTAACTGCAGAGAGAACATTGTGCTGATGAGAAACAGTGTTAGCTGAGACATAGACATAGTAAAAGGCTGGACGACATATTAAATATAGATAATTTTTCAAAGCTACACCTCAGTCAAGGTGCTGGTACAAACTCTCGCTGCCCTGGAAGGTTTGCAGTCTAAAGGAGACTGACCCAATGAGCATGTAAGCAGAGTGACTGAGGACGAGGGCAAGCACGTTAGTCCTCTGCAAACATTTGCTGTCCTTCCCTATGCACTGCTTTCTTTTCTCTATGCACAAGCTCTACATGTCTCTGCTCTTGATGCCTTTTTGCAGATGAAACTCCTGCCGAGTTTCAGGAGGAGCTCCCTGTGGGGAAGGAGAACAGGGTCAGGCCTCAAACAGATAGCTTCTGCAGATTTTTGTGGGACAGCAGCATCTGTGAAGTGAACAAACAAACTATAGACCTTTTTCCTACTTGGGTTCAACCTGGTCTGGCTGTACACCTCGCGCTGTGGCTCAGCCTGGGGTACGCGCCGCAGCCAAAGAGCAGGTGTGACATACTTTTCGCATGCCGCAGACATGCATGTGATGTGCCACAGCCTCTTTCGTGTTTTGGTTAAACAGCTTCCAGGGTAACTTTTTCAAAGGCACCTAGGTCAGCTGGGAACCTACAGTCTCCTATTGATCCTCAGCGGGATGTAGGCACCTGTGAATATTTTACCCTATTATTTTAGAGGCACTGGCGTCAGGGACCAAATTAATCTCTGGTACAATGCCATCGGTTTTACTTAGAAGTCAAATTTGGTCTATACACCTCAGAAGCAGGTGGCAATTCCAGAACATCCATCATTTCAAAGGACAAAAATGTGTCCAGTATTTCCCTGTGATCTTCCAAAGCTTCAATGCATTGTTCTAGAAAAGCGAGTTCAGCAGCACCCTAAATAGCTGAAAACACGCGAGCAAAAGTCCATCTGTTACACTATGTCAATTTTTAAAAAATGAAACTAAATTCAGGCAAAGAGTGTCCTGATTTCATAAACGAGCCATAACGCTTAGCATCTACACTGGACTCTTTGTATTAACAGCCACGTGTTTAAAAAAGAAAAAACAATCTGTATCCTGATATCTCCAACATCTCAGCAGGCTGCTACATGTCACTCATTCCACTTAAAGCCTGGTCTTCATTTAACCTGATGTCAGAACAGCAGAATCCTGCTCACACAGTAACCCTCTGCCCTCTCTTTGGTGTCGGATGTCCCCAGTGCCCCAGGGAAGCAGAGTGGAGTGGACACAGGAAACTACATGAGAATCTACTAGATCCGAAACGTGAGGCTCTTTAAATCAACTTATTCAAATTTTGCTGTAGAGACACTGTGGGAGAATCCACTCGACAGAATTTTCACTCTTGTATTATTTTCCAAGACATACATTACAGATGTTCTTCTTTCTCCTATGATAATTTATGGAAAGAGATGACTTTTTTGTCTCACTGAAGTTGGTAGAAGTTTTGCTCCAGTAAAGAATGCAGAATTGGACTCAAAGTAGTTGTATCACTACCAATAAAGTTTCAAATTTGTCCTCTGGAACTCAGATAACATTTAAACGAGGTATTTTTAATAAACATTTTCTTTCTAAAGTCTTGGCTTTCAGCAGCAAACACTTAACAAAGCACAATGCCTTAGCCTTGCCAGCTCCACAGCACAGCACTGGAGGCACGTGTGAAAGTCATCTGAACTCGAGAAATTTTACTTCCACTCTTGGCACGGAGTGCTGGGTCTCACGACCCAGGCAGAGCATGTTTCCGGGTCTGAGCACACAACTCTGAGGAATCACTTAGCAAACAGGGAAAAGCAAATTGCAGGCTGAGAAGCACAATGCCCCTTTCCATGCCAACATCTCAGCAAGTATTGACGGGGCTCTGTTACAGAAAAGTGTCACAGCACCCTGCAGAAAGCAGAGCTTACCAAGCATATCAAAAGGGAAAAGGAGCATGAAGAAAGTCAAGCAAAAAGCAGGAAAACAGTTCAGAACCAAATATTAAAATGCTCCATTTTAAGAACGCTCATTATGTCCCCCATCTTACAGCCCTCGTTTGAAAGTCTAACTCCGCAAATCAATGGATGGAAACACAAAAGCTTTGTAATTAGGAGACATAAGGCCTGACCTAAAACTCAACTGAAACTGATGGGCATGTTTTTATTGATTCAGTGGATTCATTCCACTAACTGCAGCAACCTAGGCATAAAGATGTTCACTTTGGCACCCAAATCCCCAGCCAGTGGGGAAAGAAAGGGATCTCCACAGTAGGATTCATCCCATGTATGGCTCTTATTGGCTCAGACAGCAGGAGTCCACTCTTAGTTTAGCTGTTAACTAAAAGAATTTAAACCTTCTACTGCGGGTATTTCCATACCTACATTTTTCTCTTCCATGCACAGAGGGTTCTTTTCTTTCTCTGTAAGTTAAATTTGAGGGTAGGTAAGCTAATGACTTCCCACAGCATAAAATTCCAGACCCACGGTACAATTCCAGCTATGCCATTCTCCGCAGTGGTTTTCTTTTTTTTTTTTTTACACCAGTAATCCCACTAGCACATCCTTCTGCTGGCAACAAAACTACCTCACTTATCCTGTAACGTGCCTTCAACTGCCCTCAGGCAGATGTGAACTGTAAACAAACTGTCAAGGCTGTAACTGGGATATCCAGTTAAAGCACTTTAAATAAAAACTTGGACCATCTAGAGAAAACAGACAAGAGTAAGGAAAGAAAAGACCGTGGAAAGGTGCTTTTCCAACAGAACTAGTCCTTCTGCACTCAGAGCATGGACTGCCTTTTTATGTGCTGTCTGCAGGGCTTAAGAAAGTTCCTGCATTACCCACCCTTGTTAGAACAAGGCATTTGGTAGTGCTTTTAAGAACTTAACCGTGCAGCTCTCACTCACAAACAACTCCCATTTGAGATGTATGAGCTTTCCAAGTAAGATTAATGGGAGAGATATGGAAATAGGCTGAGCACCCGCAACTCACATTAGGATATTCAGTACCTTTGCTAGTCTTGTCCCTAAGTAATTTTTCTATTCATGGGCCAGAACACACTGCTGTAAGTGGCTGACTGTCACACTGCCACTTTTCTTCAACTGCAGCCTTTGAAAGCTGAGAGACTATCATCTACTCCAGGCAGCAACCCAAATTCCACTATTCGGGGAGGAGAACGGGTGATGACTGACCTTAAACTTCCAGCCTCCTCCTGCTTCCCACAACCGTGCAAAGCCCAGCTCGTGCACAGCTCGGCCGCTGGAGAGAGAAGTGGTAACGCGAGCGAGGGAAAACCTCACCGCTGCCTTTCCCTGCTGCGCAAGTCTTAAGCTCCCCAGGCTTCAGTGCGCTGTGTTTCCCCCCTCCCCTTGATTAAGCAAAGAAGAATATGAGACTTGGTAATCTTGCCCCCAAAAAGCTGTGGAGGAAAACCAGGGACAGGCTCCTCCCAAAGGCTGCTGCTGCAGGGGGGCAGGCTGCCTCGCCTCTCCATTTTGTCTTACAGCTGCAAACCAAACTCTGCATTTTACTGTTTAAAATAGAGAAAATTAAGGTTAATGTCAGCTCACACTCTTGAAAAAGTTAACCGGGTAAGAGTTTGTTTTAAAATCCTTTAAACTTGCTCTTTAAAGAAAATGAAGATGGTTACACAAACCACTGAAAGTCAGGAAATTCGAGCTGAAACGTGTCAGTCTGTGGTTAAAAAATGGAAAGTGACAGGAGCTAAGGGTTTAAGAACACTCTCTTTAGCTTGCAGGGCTTTTACCTTATGTTATTTCCTTTGTTACTGGGAGAAGGAGATATCAAAACAGTGCTATTTTCTTAAAAGGTTCCATTTCACGGTGTCTTTTGATAGCCTGCAGGGTTAGGTGGACGGTCTATGATTTAGCCTACTTTTCTATCTGCTAAGATGTACATGTTAGGATAGTTTGTTTTATATACTGTTACTTATTTGATTGGCTATAGAATATAGACTATAGGGCCAATACAACATAGACTTTTACACAGGAAAGGCCAAAAATATAGTTTTTACTCAACCACCTCTTATCAGGCACTACTCAAGCAAATGCTCAATACAGATAATCAGTCTGCCTCAATAAGGGCTTCATACATTATCCCAAAATCTTAATCTTTCGAAGTTTCTACTGAGGCCAAACTTGCCCTGCAGCGAAATGGGGTTTTGTTTGAGTGACAACAATATAGGATGTTGGCTGTCACCATCTCCACCAATACAAAGCAAAACTATTTGGGATCTATGCAATGAGGTGTAAGATTACCGTGGCAAACGCACGGGCACGGTGAGACATCCCTTAAGTCTGCTGCTAAGAATACCCAATGCCCAACCATGACACTTGCCACGCAGGACAAAAATGCGGGCTCAGCCTTCACAGCTGATCAGGATGATCCTACACATACACAGTCACTTTTACATGTGGCGTTTTGCAGGGACTTAACACAAAGACCAAATGTAGATGAAGTCCAAACTCCTCTTGAGTTTAATGGGACTTTTTTCTCTCATTCCTCTAGCGCAACACTGATACTACCACATCGCCAGTGCAGCTGCAACTAGCTACCTGGCCTCGCACGCCAAACGCAGACAGCTTGGCACAAGACTCAGCAATGCGCAGGAGGCAGGGGCACCGGCTGGAGGTCCATGCTGCAGACCCATCTCCAGCATGCGTCCAAGCACGGGGACCCTCCTTCTTCCCAGGACGCAGCGCGGGTGGCACCCAGCTGCAGATGCCATGTCCTTGAGACTGCATGAACAGGAGGGATGGCTTGGCTGCCTCCGTTCACGTCAGGCCGTGTCTGCCTACATGGGAAGTCAACAACCTGCAGCTGCCACAATCGCCTTCCAGCCCCGATCTGGAGCTCAGCTATGTGACATGCTCTTCCTCCTAAGTGACAGTGATTTGTGTCATGCTATCTGATATGATCATCAACTATCATTTGCCAAGCTGCGTGAAGGTCCAAATTGCAGTGAAAAAAAAATCCTTTGAGGTTGCTCTGAATATTTGTTACTCTTGCCTATTTTGGAGGTGAACACCAAAAGGGCAAGTACTCAGACACTTTGCTGAGTTTAACACCAGCCAAGTATCTTTTTCTTTAAGTAAGCGCAGCGCAAATCATTAAAGCAATGAAAAATATTGCACACTGATAATGTACTACTTCCCTCTTACATAAGTTTAAATTTAAAAGCAAACGTAATTTTAGGAACTTTGTACCAAGCATATGTAAAAAAAAGTTTGGAGCGCTCTCTCTCTCTTTCTTCCCTCTCCACACACACATCTCAAGGTGCAAAAAGCTCTACAATCCTTACTTGGACTGAAGTCAGTGAAAATTTGCCTAGGTAACAACTATTGGATTAAGCCCAAAATATTAACAGCAGCAATGTAAACACATGTAGTTACAACTAAATTTCACCCAGATGAGTTCCACAGTGTTTCATTTCTACCTGCTTGGATTCAATGGATACAGCTCTGTGTTTGTGTGTATATGCAACAAAACAAATGATGCACTAGTGAGCTTGGGACGATAACAATCTGCAAACCGGGCAGAAAGGGAAAATCAGGTACGAATGCTAACATTTCCAAGCTCCCCGCCTCCAGAGACAGCCTGTCCTCACTGTACACGCGTGCTCCCACCGCAGGGCCGGGGAGAAGCGCTGGGCAAGCGGCAGCAGCACACTCCTGCTGCCATGAAGCAGACCCGTACGTTTACCCTATACGCTTTCAGAGCAGTCGGGGCCAAACGCTCCTCTCACGTGAGGTCAAGCAAACTTTCCTGGAGATGAAACGGATTTCACCTATGGCATTGGACCCAAGTCCAATTCAGACCGCGCAATGATCAACATGCAATACTGCACTGTTATAAAACATCTGCATTTCATTCTGAAGAAAGATACCTATGCCACAATTACAGAAACCTCTAGCTGCATTCTTCATTTACAGTTACATTTCAGCTGAGGCACTCAACATTTCTTGACCAGCAGAGAGAACAGTTTTACCTTCGACCTTCGTACTAGTACACCAAGATGCTGCACATCAAATAATCATTTTGAGACTTTTTACTACTGCTTTTTCTTTCAGTCTAACAGATGCTAAGCACTGAGACAAGCTGGGAAGTCATTTTTTACTCAGTTCCTACTTAAGGAAAAGTCCTCTTTATACAAGCAATGAGAATAACTGACTTTCAACTTCAAGCAAAATTATAAAGGTTTTTCCTGAGCAAGGACTGAAGAATGGGATCCAGAATGGCCCACGAACTGACTGCGTAAACTTCCTGACCAGAATCAGCACAAACTGGACGAGAAGGTTAAACAAGCCTTTTTGTTTGCAGCAGCTCGTAGAATTATTTCTAGATAGTAGGAAACCTAACATTGTTATGCCAGAGATCAAAATATCCTATTTTACAGGCACCTCAAACACTTCATTTTTACTATAAGCAGAATGCAGGCAACTACCATTAACGGGATAAGCCACAATGCAATTCTGGTTAGTCACTATAAAATTTTGCACTGCACCTACGGACCTGCTGGAGTTTGCCCGCTGGCTATGCCCAGGCATCAGCACGCCGGCGGGGCCACCATGCCGAGCGTGCGAGCACCCGGAGCTCCTCCACCAAGAGAGGCTTTGAATTCATGCCGCGAGTGACTGCCCTAACCCCCCTGGGGGGGACTGCCTCTCCCCCCTGGGGAGAGCGAATCTTCAAACCTTCCTCTTAGCCGTGTGCCACAATGCAGCTAAGAAACGTGATTCACGCGGCCGAAAAGAGCAAACAAGCAGTAGGGAGTGTGAGTTTTTGGTCCAGATATCCCCATACACAGGGGAGACATGGATGTTGATGCCAGGCTCTCCAGAGCTAGTTTTCAATCACGTGGTCTGGTAACACAAAATATGAACCTACTCGATTGCAAATTCTATAACATGTCATCTGAAATTACTTTTTAATTTCGGGCTATTTCATTCGTATTTCAAAGGGGAAACAGGTGATGAAATTGTGGAATTCCTATGAAATAAAAATTACAGTTCTCACACAGCTCTGCTACTAACATCAGCAAATGCTACTGAAGTTCAAAATGCAAAAATAGGGACATGTGTAATATTTTAATATACTGCTTTATAACGGCAGACTAGAGATACTTAACCAAAACCAGACTTTATTCATTTTCTTTTACTGTAAATAACCAACATTCCTCCTAATGTAAATTCTGGAAAGAGGGAGGAAAGAAAGGTTTAGCCCTGGGGACTATCTGTCCAAAAGTCAGAAACTATGGAGTGACTCTGTGACGCCGACTCACTGTAAGGAATGATGCTCTTTCTTTGCCTCAATTTGCCCACATGGAGAAAGGATAAAAAATTACTTATTCATCTACTTCAAAAATAAGGGTTCCAATGGAAAGACAATTAACCTACACTGTGTTTCACTCTCCAAATGACCTGCAACGGGCCTGTTCTAAAATCCACAGGATTTGACAAAAAGGCTGCTAATTACTTCAGTGGGCTTTGGATCAGGCCCTCTATACTAGCTATTTATTTACTAAAAAGTACGGCAAATGTATATGTTTGTTAACACTTGAAAACGCTCAATTACCTCAAAGTCAACCGAATGGCTGCATTAAAACAATCACACATCTAATTTGGTTAAGAGATCCTGAGACATAAAACTGGGCATAAGCATTACAGGACCGTTTCAGATGATAAATGACTCTTTCTGGCACGATCTTACTCTGAGCTCCAGGGAAGACCAGCTTGGCTGTCTCCCTCTGCTGCAGCACTCGGTTTGACAGCTGCTGGCTGGTAACACCAGCTACATCTGTACCCCCACCCCAGCCGCTGCCAGAGTCTGCTCTCGAGCCCGAGGCCAACTGACATGTTCTGGCCGGAGCCACGCTCTCAAACTCTCCTGCTCTCCAAAACAGGACAGCTGCATCCAAGAAGTCTATAGGAAAAGGCCTCTGGCCCATATTAATTCCTGCGCCATGCCTGGGAATTGTTTTGGGGAATAACGGTTGGCCTAGGCAAATGCGCGCCAGGGACTATCCCACCAGTTCACCCCTGGAGTCAACTGAGTTACCATAGCCCACGCCTGGGGTCTTAGCCCCATTTAATTTCCTGACACAGCTGTAGCCACAGTGTCCTCACGCTATGCGGGTGAAGCAAGGTCCTGAACTACAGGCTATTCACCTTAACGTTTCATTCTTCCGTACTTGAAAACTTAAGATCAGTCCGTCAGAAAGCATTAACCATCTACAGAACGCATGTTTATCAAAGAATGGTTACCTGCAGTGGATGAGATAGTGGCCTGTTCCTAGGTACCGCAAATGTCTTGTGAAAACTACCGTCCTCTTCTGACACTGGCATCTTTAAAATGGAGCTAGTAAGAAGATTCTGAACAAAAAAAAAGAAGAAAAGAACAGCTTTCAATAGCTCAACGAAACAAGAAAAGAAACTGAACTCCTAAGCACAAGAGTAACAATAACAACGCTGAGCAGTCCCAGGGAAGCAAAGGCAACCATGCACATGCTGGGGCTCCTCTGCACAAAACAATACAGAGTTCCTTTTTCTTTAACAGTTTTAACTCCATGACCTGGTCATTTTTATATGCAGGTGCAGATGTCCTCTAAGTGCACGCTTTTCGCAAAAACTATGATGGGCTGTGCAATGGCTGCAACTTCCTGCTACCTTCTATAGGCCTTACAACAATGTAATGAAGAGAAAGATTTTGCCTCTTATCTGCTGAGTACAGAAAAACAGTATGTAAATAGTGAATAATGCCTTCTTGTTAGGAAAGTCAAACATAAACTATTCTCTCTGTTGCATTTAAGAACTGGACAGGGATGTAAAACTGAAAAATCATTTGGTGGTGTGGAAACTTGAACTTACTGGCACATCTTCCACAGTAGATGCATGTGTAAAGAGCTGAGTGTTCAGGTGTTCTCCTTCCCAGTGGTTTGAGCAAAAGAAATGTCCAGCTTTATCTGTTGGAGACTCCACCTGGAAGCAGGAAAGGCACCATGATAAAACGCAGTATCTAACTGATCAGGAGGAGATCTACCTGTCCACTTTTTAACAGGCTGAATAAATATTCTTCACAGTTGGGCATGACACAGATTTACAGTGTAATCTTTCACAGCAACCTTGCTCTTTGCAGAAAAAATGTTCAAGGTTCTCAAAAGAACCTTATCTAATAAAACTTTGAATACTTGCACTCAGCGCTCTGTCAGTATTCAAGAGTTTAATCCCCTAAAAGCGATGGAGAACATATGTATTTTTGGAATTTTAGTGACAAAGCAATATAATGCAATGTCCTCAAATGCTCAGGTTTCTAAGTCACTCCATGTAGCTTGGTCCCTGTGGGATTCTTCTATAGTTTTCACCAATATTAGAAGGATTCAATCCAAATTCCTGTCTAATTTTTTTTCTTTTTAAGTTTCAAATGAAAACTGCATTAGAACAGCCCAAGCAAACCCCTGCTGAAAACAGCAGAAAGACTTCTATGGAAATCAATGGGAGATGAATTAGGCATTCCTAGTACACTATACAGAACCGGCAAAGATCTTGGGGCTCACATGAAAGAAAAATAGACACTGCTATTTAACAGAAAAGGCATTGGTATAAGTTTCTCAGCAAAGAGTGCTGAATTAAATTGCCTCAGGTAAGTTTGCAATTTACCTCTTGTTTGATTTTCTTCAGCAAAGGGGGTCCACTTTCATGTAGCCCAGCCACGATTGCAGATTCTTCAGACTCCTGCTTGATAACGTCCTGCAGATCTTCTACCAGATGAGTCGGAGTTTGAGGCTGAAAGGAAGAAACGTCATATATGAGTCCCAGAACATCCCTCTGCACTAATATCAAAGCAACTTTTATCATTGTTTCCTTCTTACCAACATCTTCAAAGGACCATATTTGATTTCCTGAGCTGCAAGTGCGTTTTTGAATGGAGTGGGTGTTCTTGGAGAGCTCTCTAATATCGACCTCTTGATTGCTGGAGTTCTGAAACTTTGAAAAGAGGCAGAAAAACTTTAAAGGAATGTGTTTGGAAATATTAACCCCTTGCAAAAATATATGCATACAGACAATGACTGCTCTAAGACTTTGGTAAATGACTTCCTGCAATCATATAACGCATTTTTAAGTAGCCGCCTCGGTTTCGCGGAAAAATATCTATTTAACTATTATAAGGCAGAATGGTTGTATCCAAGAAAATGTCGAGTCTACATGCACAATTATTCCTTATTAATAAGCTACCCTGCTACTTATAAAATGGAAGTATTACTCTGAACTAACAAAGATGTGAATGTACTAGCAAACAACCCTGCAGGAAACACACAGTCAGGCAGCATTTTGTTTTGGTTGTGCCCAAAACTGAAAAAACAAACCCTCACGAGTCGGACAACACAATGTTGTAAGAGACTTACAAATGATTTTCCTTCTGCGTTTTGAAAGCCTGGTCCCTGTGGAACGGTGTGGTAACAGCCATCTTATGGCCGCACACGGGGGTGGAAGTTAAAGCGGGGTTGTCCAGGCTCAGGTTTTCGTGACTGGTTGACGTGTTTAAGAACTGTAAATAGG